AGAAATAAAGAAAAGAGTACTGAACTGTTACGTAATATCAGTCCTCCTATATGGCAGTGAATGCTGGACAATCTCCTCAAAGATGAATAAGAGACTTGAAGCAACAGAAACAAAGAAAAGAATAATGAATTGTTACGTAATATCAGTCCTCCTACATGGCAGTGAATGCTGGACAATCTCCTCACAGATGAAGAAGTGACTTGAAGCAACAGAAACAAAGAAAAGAATACTGAACTGTTACGTAATATCAGTCCTCCTATATGGCAGTGAATGCTGGACAATGTCCTCACAGATGAAGAGACTTGAAGCAACAGAAACAAAGAAAATAATACTGAACTGTTACGTAATATCAGTCCTCCTATATGGCAGTGAATGCTGGACAATCTCCTCGTAGATGAAGAAGTGACTTCAAGCAACAGAAACAAAGAAAAGAGTACTGAACTGTTACGTAATATCACTCCTCCTATATGATATTGAATGCTGGGCAATCTTCTCACAGTTGGAGGAGTGACTTTTTTGTAATTATTTTGTTCCAAATAAGGCAATAAAGCCACTAGGACGCAAGCGGTTACCGAGTGTGAAAGAATATGAGAAAAAATATTTTTAAAGTGAAAGGTCAGTAAAAGAACAGCAATTAAGACAGAAGATAACGATTGACATTCCATTTAAATTCTTGAAGACCAAAGTTCACTTGGAAACAAGAAGCCGGAAGAGGTTCCACAAGCGAGAAGTGCGGGAAAAGAATCTGTTAGCATAAAACTTATTGTTGCATCTAGCAATTTCAACTGTAAAATGATGAGGCCTTGTCACCAATCTTGCGCTGCGCTTAATATTCATAGTCTATATTCCATAGATTGAAAGTTCATCAGAACTATCACCGTTAAATAACTGAAATCTGGGTCTACAGTATGATGCTGAGAATGTCATGGGTTGAACATGTGATTAATGAGGAAGTTTTAGGGATATTGTCAGAAAATAAACTTTGTACTTCTTTAATGGGGAAAGTGAGTTTGAAGAATATGATATATCTCAGGCAAGAAAGAGGAAAACAGCGAATGGCCTACCAAATGAACTTGTGTAAATGAAAGGACCGGAAGTTGAACAGAGCTATTATCATCTATGTCTTGAAGTGACACGGCACATAGAAGTCGTAATATTTTGAAGAGTCGTATTAATATGAGTTGTATTCAATTTGCTTAACATTCAAATCACTAGCCGTAGCAGCAGTTGCAAACGTAGATGTTGAAGTAGTATTTACGCTTTTAGTAAAATGTGTTATAATAATCTTAAACAAAGGAAAAGAATGATTGACTGATTTATCTGTTTAACGATATATCAACACCTTATGGGTCATTTAATACCAAAATATAATTTTTTTAGGAGCTTAAAAGTAAGAAAAATATGATATATGTTATTCTGATTTCACAATTGAATACATGGTAGATAATACTCAGCTTTTGTGTATATACGTGTTTGTGTGGACATGATTACTAGAAGCGGCGATATTTGTGTTTTATGTTGTAGTTTTGTTAAACTTGTATTTTGGAGTACCATTTGATTTCTTTAAGGAATTGTAGGATATTATATGGATTAATGTCATGAAAGAGTTCTTTCCTGTTGGCTGTTTGGTTGATTTTGTTTTGTGTTCAGAAAGAACCTGAAGTTGTACAGATCATCCATGTCTTCTAGTGACACATAGATGTCATTGTAGTATAAAGAGTCGTATTAATATGAGTTGTATTCAATTTGCTTAACATTCAATTCACCAACCGTAGCAGCAGTTGCAAAAGTAGATGTTGAAGTATTATTTACGCTTTTAGTAAAATGTGTTATAATAATCTTAAACAAAGGAAAAGAATGATTCTGATTTCTCTGTTTAACGACATGTCAACACCTTATGGGTCATTTAATACCAAAATCTAATTTTTCTTAGGAGCTTAGAAGTAAGAAAAATATCATATATGTTATTCAACTTTACTCCTCCCCTTCTATTAAGCTTCGCTGGACACCCAGACCGTGCGTTTATTTATTTTTATATAATAAAGCGTTAGAAAATTATTTAGCCGAATCACCTGAAGATACTGAGAGGTTGAAACCAAGGTAGCGTGATCAGCTGATTTTCTAATTTTTAAAAATTTATATATATATATATATATATATATATATATATATATATATGAAAAATATAGTTTTAAAATCATGCTATATTTATGGGATAATGTGATCAATATCAGAGATAGAGCGTATGTAAATATATAAGTGAACACTGAAGTCAACACTCAGAGGCGACAGGCTGTTTCATGCTAGACGCAGTCGTTGGGACGCTTGACGAAGAAAAATGGAAATAGAATTTACAGAATTTTAAATATCTGCGATGCGTTTTAACGGAAGATGGAAAATGTGACACCGAAATCCGAAGTACGCATTGGTGTAAAAAAAGACGCATTCCAAAAGCTAAGAAACGGGACATTTTCGTTAGAAACAAAGAGCACTAGATTGCTAAGCGATATTAATCTGCTTGCAAGGCAGTGACTCTGTTGGACGTGCAGATGAAGTTAAATCTTGGGGCAGCTAAAATGTTAAGAAGTCCATGGACGGAGCGTGTAACCAACGAGGGAGTCTTAAAGAAAATGTCATTTATTGTCAGGTCAAAAAAAGACATCTGAAAATTTTTCGACACATTTTAACCATTTATTTGGCATAAGAACCAAATGTAAATTAAGGCAAACATCCCGTTTTTGTACTTTGTCTGCTTCAATGCTGTATGAAATGCCCGCAAATCGCTAGCAGAAATTTCAAGATGGTACATATGTTTTGTATCACTAGATGCAAACTGATGACGGTCTATCGAATCAAAGATAAAAACATTATGTTTTTTTGTATCACAAGATGCGAACTGATGAGGTTGCATCAAAACAGAGATAGTAAAAAACATTATGTTTTTTGTACCGCAAGATGCAAACTGATTACGTTTCATTGAAACAGAGATAAAAAAAAATATGTTTTTTGAATCACAAGATGCAAACTGATGAAGTTCCATCGAATCAAAGATAAAAAATATATATGTTTTTTGTAGCACAAAATACAAACTGATGACGTTCTATGTAATCAACGATAAAAAATTGTTTTTTGTATCACGACATGCACACTGATGACGTTACATGGTTATCTGAGATAAAAAAAAAATTCTTTTTTGTATCACAAGATGCAAACTGATGATATTAGATGGTTATCTGAGATAAAAAAAAAAGTTTTTTGTATTACAAGAGTGATTGGAGGAGCAGTCATATTAGATATAGGCAGTAGTTAGAGGTTAAATCCTGTTTCTTGACCTCACACTTAGTTGAGGGCAAATTCGCCCCTAAACCGCAAGAAAATTTTCTGTTCTTTTTTTTTTATTGTTAATCTTACCTTTCTTACAGACTATGGGAGTCCAGACTATGTTGAGTTTCCGAGAGTAAAACAGAGGGAGAAAGAGAGAGAGGGAGAGGAACGTAAAGACACAAAGGGAGTGTTCGACACAGAGAGGAATTAAAGGTAGGGCTATCTTAGGCAGTGCTTGTCGTGGGGGTAGGGGTTAAATTTATTTCGTAACCTAATGATCTGCTATATTTAACAGACCCCCACTAGAGATATATGTGGCACAAGGCTGAGGGTTCTCCGCGCCCGTAGTCTCGGCCAAAATATTCCCTTAGAACCCGTATAAACGGGTTCAGGGCCTGTCTACCTCCCCGGACGAAACTTTGCCCTTCGGAAAGGCCTCGTCCGGGTTACTCTCTACTCGAGGCAGAGAGTTCGACAGATGAACAATCTGGTCGATTTTCCCTAGTGATCTGTTGACATTTCAGTATTTTTAAGAAAGACTGTTATACTTTTCTTTTTACTATCTGGGAATGCTCACGGGTTGAGTGCAAAGCGTAAAATTAAAAAAATTAAACTGTGTAATTTAAAAGGGTCTTGATAATTATTATTATATTTCTGTTATTACTTTATTTAGTACCTAAGTTGACCTAAAATCTCAAAAACTAAGTTCAAGAAACAATTTTTTGGAATCAAAGATAAGGGGTAAAGCATTTAGAACAATTTAATTATGGCCATTGTATGTATAGAAATCTACGCAAAATGCGTGAAGTAAACATGAGTATGATTTTTTGCAATACAGATAGATTAGTAACAGCCTGGGATAATTGTCCATCCCACAAAATGTTTAATATCTAAAAAAATCCTAAACTAATTGAGTTTCTTTTCTCCAGGTTTTCATTTAGCCATCTTGACACCATTTGGAAAAGCGTTTGGGTTATTTCGCTAGAAAGAGAACAGATTAAAATTGTTTTGTGTCAGCCCCACTGTCTTCCCAAATGAGCAATGGTGAGAGGAAAAAGATCATTCAGGTCTTCAGTAATCGTACCAACATTCATACACTGGCTTCCATCTTCAAAGTTCATTCAAGAACCATCAAGAGAATGGTGAATAAGTCTGAAAAAGAGGGAACAGTAGAAAGAAAAATGGATCAGGAGGTCACAACAGGAACAGGGATCAACATTTTAAATTAGATCTAAATAGATTCTTATTGTTTAAAGTAGAGTCTAATAGTATTATAAAATCCTCGGAGAATTCCAGTAAGATATCTTTAATCATTTCTAAGATACAACGATTCAAAACTTAATCTAACAATTAAACAATTTTGCTGTTACACGATTTGTGTGTGTGTGTGTGTGTGTGTGTGTGTGTGTGTGTGTGTGTGTGTGTGTGTGATCGCACGTGTATTTGTATCTCTTTGTTGGTGTGCATCCTTAGGTGTGTGTATCTTTGGACCACAATGTGACAAAAGACACACTGTTTAACCTATGGTCGTCTTTCTTTTATGATGGATTCAGGGCCGAAAAGGAATTGAGAAGAAAGCAAATGAAATCTTTGCCACCCAAAAAGCAGTTACCAAAATACAAAAAAACCAAAAACAAAAAAAAACTTCTGACAAAATGGTTTTAACACCTTGCGGCATGCCGGCTTTTATTCTTTCTTCTGGTTTTGTTTGTGTTCTCTTTCGCGGACTGCTTACTTGCTTTGTTGTCTAGCCATTCCACCAATTAATTTTTACCATTTTTCATTGATTTTAATTTCCGTATAATAAAGCCCGTCATCATTTTCTCTTCTACATTATCATTTTCTTTGTCAGTTTTTATTTTCCGTTTTTTTCTTTTTACTTCTTTCTCCTTGCTACAATTCTTTGAATTTACCTTTCTTTTTTTTTCCTTTTTTCTATTTCTTTCTTTCTTTTTTCTTTCTTTCTTTCTTTATTTAAACTTTTCTTCCTTGCAACGATTCCTTGAATTCACCTTTCTTTTTTTTACCTTTTTTCTAATTCTTTCTCTCACTCTTTCTTTTTTTCTTTCTCTCTTTCTTTCTTTCTTTCTTTCTTTCTTTCTTTCTTTCAACTTTTCTTCCTTGCAACGATTTCTTGAATTTTCCTTTACAGGACTATTCTTTCTTTCTTTTCAGATTCTTTCTTTTTTTTTCTTTTCTTTCTTTCAACTTTTCTTTTTTTGCAACGATTTCTTGAATTTTCCTTTCTTTTTTACTATTTTATCCTTCTTTCTTGTTTTCTTTCTTTCTTTCTTTCTTTTTCTTTCTTTCTTTCTTCCTTCCTTCCTTTCTTTCTTTCTTTTCTTTCTTTATTTCTTTTTGTTCTTTCTTTCTTTCTTTCTTTAAAGTTTTCTTCCTTGCAACAACTCTTTCAATTTTCTTTCTTTTACTATTTTATCCTTCTTTCTTTCTTTCTTTCTTTCTTTTTTTTTTCTTTCTTTTCTATTCCTTCCTTTCTTTCTTTTCTTTTCTTTCTTTATTTCTTTCTTTTCTTTCTTTAAAGTTTTCTTCCTTAGGAAATCTTTCAATTTTCTTTCTTTTACTATTTTATCCTTCTTTCTTTCTTTCTTTCTTTCTTTCTTTTTCTTTCTTTCTTTCTTTCTTCCTTCCTTCCTTTCTTTCTTTCTTTTTTCTTTATTTCTTTCTTTCTTTCTTTCTTTCTTTCTTTCTTTAAAGTTTTCTTCCTTGCAACAAATCTTTCAATTTTCTTTCTTTTACTATTTTATCCTTCTTTCTTTCTTTCTTTCTTTCTTTCTTTTTCTTTCTTTCTTTCTTCCTTCCTTCCTTTCTTTCTTTCTTTCTTTCTTTATTTCTTTCTTTCTTTCTTTCTTTAAAGTTTTCTTCCTTGCAACAAATCTTTCAATTTTCTTTCTTTTACTATTTTATCCTTCTTTCTTTCTTTCTTTCTTTCTTTCTTTCTTTCTTTTTCTTTCTTTCTTTAAAATTTTCTTCCTTGCAACGATTCCTTGAATTTTCATTTCTTTTACTATTTTATCCTTCCTTCCTTCTTTCTTTCTTTCTTTCTTTCTTTCTTTCTTTCTTTCTTTCTTTCTTTCAACTTTTCTTCCTTGCAACGATTCCTTGAGTTTTCCTTTCTTTTACTATTTTATCCTTCTTTCTTTCTTTCTTTCTTTCTTTCTTTCTTTCTTTCTTTTACGTTTGTGACTTTCCTTTTCTTGTTCTTATTTTTCCTTTTTATTTGAATTCTTTTTTTCTTATTACTTTTTCCTTTGAATATTTATTTCCATCTTTTTTTCATTCTTTCTTTCTTTCTTTCTTTCTCCTTTCTTTTCATTTCTCATCTCGACTTAATCTTCCCTGTTTCCGTTCTTTTCATTTTCTCTTCCTTCTCTTTCTTATTTTTCATTACCGCTTTCTTCTTCTTACCCTCTTCACTTTTTATTCTCATTTTTCTTTTCTTCTCCCTCTTTCATTTTCCTTCCGACCAAAATATCGTAATCCAAATTACAAAGATAAGGATATTAGAAGAATTCACTGAATATGACAATACCACCTCTCGGAACTTCAATTCCTACTAGGAAGGCCAAAGATTGTACTCCTGGAAACTTTGCGACCAAAACAACAAAGATGAGAATATCAGAACAGTTCATGAGATATTTGTAATAAACATCTCAGATTTTAAATAATTTTAGGAAGGCCGGGGAGCTTACCGGTCAAAACGGCATGATGAAATAAACAATGACGAGAGTATTACAATTTGTGGAGTATTGATAATACTGATTCCGTGAAGTAGGAAGGTCGTAGCGCATATTGGACGATGTGGATATCCCTGGATAATCCCTGAATAATAACGATATTTCATCGAACTGCTGACATTAGGTAGTATATTTGTGCTAATGCAGATACACTCACACACACACACCCACTCGCACATTTCTATGTATTTTCTGAAATACGATTATTTTTACCCGTTTTTCTCTACCAAATATTATTTTAGCCTCAGAGCCAAAGATAAAAATAAAACGAAACTGACGTAAAAACTATTTTCACAATCTATTCTGTTATTGAACACCCACGCCCGTGGTAGCACCTCCGGTGTTTTGCTCCCTGGATTCTAACCGTTGTTACAGGAGAAGCAAGTATACGTCTGTATTTGCGTCGTCACTAGTCGCCATTGTTGTCAATTGTTTTCTGCATTACTATTGTCCTGCCGCAGCTGTTTTGAATGCTAATAATTCAATCGCAATGCTAACAAGGATAAAGGCTATCGGCTAAAGTAAAGGAAAGAGAGAGAAAGAAGGAAAGATTAAGAGATTAAGAGAGATCAGGAGGGGAAAATAAAAGATTAGGAAAGACGGTAGGGTGAAGAGAAGAGATCACCAAAAAGAGATGAAGGCTGAACGAGAAAAGAGAAGAAATCTATGAGATTGAAAGACGGAATATTGATAGTCGAGAAGGAACGATATAAAGAAAGAATCAGAAGAGGAAAGGATGTAATTTGAAAGAATGGAAAGAGAGGAATCAATTCAGGAATGAAAACGGCAAGATGAAAGAAAAGAAGTTATATAGAACGGTCGATTAGAGAAAGGAAAAAGAAATCATTAACGGGAAAGATTGAAGGGGAGACAAGGAGGGAGAAACATTAAAGGAGACAGAAAAAGGCGACAGGAATGAAAAGAGACGAGCTGAAAGAAAGTTAGAGAGATGAAAAGGGAGACGAATCATTGAAGGAGACTGAAAGGGCGACAGAAATGAAAGGAGACAATCGGAAAGACAGTTGGAGAGATGAAAAAGGAGACGAGTCATAAAAGGAGACTGAAGAAAGGCGACAGGAATGAAAAGAGACGAGCTGAAAGAAAGTTAGAGAGATGAAAAGGGAGACAAATCATTGAAGGAGACTGAAGAAAGGTGACAGAAATGAAAAGCGACAAGCTGAAAGACAATTGGAGAGATGAAAAGGGGGACGAATCAATGAAGGAGACTGAAGAAAGGCGACAGGCATGAAAAGAGACGAGCTGAAAGAAAGTTAGAGAGATGAAAAGGGAGACAAATCATTGAAGGAGACTGAAAAGGGCGACAGGAATGAAAAGAGACGAGCTGAAAGAAAGTTAGAGAGATGAAAAGGGAGACAAATCATAAAAGGAGACTGAAAAAGGCCACAGGAATGAAAAGAGACGATCGGAAAGACAATTGGAGAGATGAAAAAGGAGACGAATCATTGAAGGAGACTGAAAAGGGCGACAGGAATGAAAAGACACGAAGTGAAAACACAAGGAGAGATGAAAGGAAGAAGAAATCACTGAAGAAGATTGATTAAGACCAGAGAAATAAAAAGAGACGAGTGGAAGAAAGAAGGAGAGATGAAAGGAAAGAGGTATTATTGTTGGAGAGTGAAAAAACCCCAAAAAACAACGAAAGATGCGGAAGGACATTAGAGAAGAAAAAATGGAGGAAACATTGAAGAGGACTGAAAAAGAAAAGAACGGAAGAAGTCGAAATGTCGAGATGTGAAAGGGGGGGCGGAATCATTGAAGGAGACAGAAAAACAGGAAAGGGGCCAAATAATATGAGATATGAAAGAAAAAAGCAATCATTGAAGGAAAATGAAAAAGTCCATAGGGAAAAAATCGGAGGAGCGATGAAATGAAAAAGCAATTACTGAAGAAGTCTGAAAATGACGAAAAGAATGAAACGAAATGAGAATTTATCTTCGTAACCTTCTATTTGAAGCTGTGTAGAAAGACATCTTGATTATGCTTTTACTCCTTCTTTTGGTTACATTTTCTTTATTTCTAACTGATTCGGATCATTTCCAATTCATGTGGGGTCTGATATTTAGCTGAAAGTGTGAAATTAACTGTGTAAAATCTAAGCAGAATATTAAGAAACGGGAAAATTTCGAAAGAATAGCGTGCTGAACTCTAATGTAATATCGGCCCTCCTACATGGCAGTGAATGCTTGACAATCTCTTCACATATGTAGAAAACAGTTGCGCTAACAGAAATATGATTTTACGGAAGGATACTGAGAATACCATGGACTGCACTTCAGAATAACGAAGAAAGATCTGCAATGTAATCGATCATGACCTGGCATCTCGACTTCAGCCACTTTTTCACCGACTGACATTGCATCCAGCAGTCTTTTATACAAATATTTTCATGGCAACAGCTTTTTTTGGAAGTAACCCGACTATGTGAATTTAAACGTGCTACTAGATTGGCATCCAGGTCCCACTCTTTTACTAGCGCTTCCCGACAGTGGAACTCTCTTCCGTTTTCGCGCTTCCCTGAAAACTAGTCTTCAAATACGTTATTCGCCATCTTCTGTCTTCTTGAATCCCGTTCATCTTTTATCCTTTCCTCAGTCACCTTTTACCCACGCTTTTCTCTAATTGTTACAATCTGTAATCACCCCCTGCGCAGTAGTGTCATTCCCAGCTTGCTTGGGAATAACCGACAAAATACATTTTTAAGGAAAATTGAAGCAAGGGCATCTATACTTAACATCAGAAAGAGACATTTGTAATTGCTATGACACATACTGAGGAAAGAAAGCTTGAAGAATTTGACAGGACCTATTGAAGGCAAGAGATTATAGTGGAAGGTGTCGAGACATCTCCAATCGACCTTGTGTAAATGGTTAATAGAATAGGGATTATTTGAAGATTTAAAATTTGTTTTGATCTTTCATTTTCTCGTTTAGATGGGATTTAACGAAACTACAAATGTTATACATTGATTACCATCTTCCTATGTCACCCAACTTATCTAGTGGGGAACAGATAAAACCGAAAAAGTTAATGAATAATAAAAAACAGCATATATATATATATATATATATATATATATATATATATATATATATATATATATATATATATATATATATACTTAGTTGTATGGATGTGAGTGATTCACGCCTCTGCGAACATCAGATAAACTCCTTCCCATAACTTCCCCAACTAGATGCTTCCTCTGTAGCTAAAAGGTATAGCACATCAGGCTATATGACTGTTACGTGTAGGATACAAGTTCGATTCCTGTCTGAGGACACATATTTGTATGAAATTTCTCGAACATTCAGGCCGGTAAATGTTGTTAATAAAGTTTATTATAAACAAAGCATTTATTTAAATATTTGTACATATAAGAATAACGTTTAAATAATATATATATATATATATATATATATATATATATATAGGTTGACTATACTCAATTACATATGTTTACATAAGAATTGTGGTGTGTATAAACTTAGTCATGTATAAGACATATGAATTTAAAAACTTTCTAATATATATATTTATATGTATGTATATATATCTAATGCGGTGCAGATAAATCCGGAAAAATGAATGAATAATAAAAACAGCCTTTTTTTATAATTAGCAAATATATAAGGTAGAAAATATAGAGCTATTAAAAGTTACCAATATATGTAAGGTACAAAACTCTCTTGATGTTACCATCATCAGCGGCCTCCCATTTTTCCAAGCGCGACCTTAAGCTGGAGCAGTTTTTTAGACGGTTCTCCTGGTCCATGTTGGCCATGGCGTTCCTGTTGGCTGCCTTGAGGGCCTCCTTGGTGTTGTTGGGCCTGCCATTCACTTCCTTTTCCAAGACGCTCCACACGAAATATTAGGTTGGTGCAAAAATAATGACGTAATATTTTCGTTTTTTGACGTTAAAAAATGCGTCAAAAAACGACATTGTTACGTCACTATTTTTGCACCAACCTAATAGATGAAAGAATTTCAATCTGGTGATGAGCTGGGGCAATAAGTTGGGCGATCAGTGGTACGGTGAAGAAGTGGAGACTCTTGAGCAGATAAGATTTATAATTCAACTCCTTGTCCGATTGTTCGCCATTTATTGCCTTTTTCCTTGATGATTTTCCTCATGGTTTTGCTGGAATTTGCCTTGACAAGTTCTACAACGTCGGTGAGAAACTCAGGCGTCCTGTTGGCACCAGATCGCTTCTTATGTGTCATGCGTTCTGGCCTGAAATTATCCTTGCCGTCGGAAGTCCCATCTGCCTTTGCGAGGTCATAGATTAAACTTTTCAATAATTTCTTTGGTTTTGTGGCCGGTGCGAAGGCCCTCCATAACACTTCGACGATCGTATGAAGACATGTCGATTACTCAGCACCTCGTGTGTCAATGGCCAGGTGTCGTAGTATTTTATGGCGCTCTCGAAACTTCGTCACCCTGTGAAGTCACTGTGTTGTTGCCACGTAAACAGTCCAGATTTATCTGCACCACATTGTGCCATAGTATCCCAATGATACTTTTTTCCCCGTTCATGAAGTTATTTTTTACGATAATACTTAATTCTGTAGTGATATCGGATGCCAGTGCATCCCAGAGTAGCCCTTGTATCTCGCACTCGAGTGACCATGTCCCGGGGTCTGGGCTCCCAGCTTCAAGAAGGAGTTCTGTTGCCCTGATTTCTGGGTAGATGATACGTGTACACCGTGGGAATATGTATCTTCTTTCTTGGATTGTCTTCATTAAGGGTGCTGGAGGTAAACATTTTCTGGGTTGACGTTATACGCCTGATAGTCAGTGACCTGAAACCCCTGATGAGGTTATTTCATATCAGTTGGATACCATCGTGGCTATTGTACGACCATTTTATGAATGTGATTTAGACCCATCAGGTTCCAATATCTCCATAAACTGAAAGAGGCCCGTGTTCAGTCCGTAGCATTTACTTGGCAATTACTTGCAATTTCACTTGGCAAAGGTAAGAATTCATCTTTACTCTCCCCAGCTATGGATTGAATAGTACGGTATACTGGTTTCTTCAGACTTAGTTGACAACTCTAATTTTAAAATAATTAGGGAGGTCGTCTGGGGCCATTTTAGCACATTATGTACACCAGTTATCAATATTCGGTTCTTCGAAAAAGGGTGGATGCTTCTTTACAGTCCTCTACCCGCATAATCAAATGGTATGTGCGGGGTAGTTCAACTGTGCAGAATTATTTGACCATAATATGCTGAAGATGACCGGAGAGTCTATTACACACACACACACACACACACACATATATGTATATGCATATATATATATATATATATATATATATAATTATTTTTTTTAAAAATTATAACATAAGTATGTTATATACTTATGTTATAATTTTTTATAAAAATAATTATATCTGCTCTACTTTGTATTGAGCACTCTTTTAAGAATAGTAATTGTTGGTTATTGGAATTCATTCCGTATATACCAATTATATACTTTGATATATATATATATATATATGTTTTTATTCAAACATATTTGCTCTGAATTTACATTGAGCTCTCTGGATATCATCCTCCTTGGGTCTACACATACGGATTACCTAGTTTTGCATAAACTATATATATATATATATATAAAAGTGAACATAGAATGTTCTATGTTCACTTTTATATTTACACACGCTCTATCTCTGATATTGAGCACTTTATTCCATAAATATAGCACACCTTAAGACTATATTTCTTTATATATATATATATATATATATATATATATTATTGGGATTTTCCCAGTTATATTTGGTAACAAAAATATTGTGAAGCCGGCAAGAAGAAAGGAACACAAACACAGTTGAAAATGTTTGAAAAAACTTGTATTGTAGGAAAAGAGAGGAAAGCTTCATTGCAAACAGTCGGGTTTGCGGAACTTTTAACAGTTTTATATTTCCTGTGTCGTTTTGGCTGGGTTGAAGAAAATAGAGTCTTGACTTCTGTGCTTCAGTTGCTGTCTAAATCCACACCCGTGTCCTGGTGTTTAGATGACATAGTGCAGACGGGGAACGTGTTGTCTCTGAGGGTCCCAACAAGCAAAAGAGGAAGAGAGTTTGTAACAACCGCTCTCGTCGGGGTTTGGTGAAAATCTAAAAAATAGCCTGTGATTGGTTGTTTTTGTCCAATCACAGGGCACCCAGTTAGCGACTCCGTAATAATTTCAATATATATATATATATATATATATATATATGCTTCCGTCAGATGCGTCTCAAATATCATCATATAATGACTGGTTACTCGTATCCCAGTATGCTCGTCTATTAGCTAATCCCTGTTGCAGAGGCCTGCTTAGGCACATTTGTGTTTATTCTACACCAAATTTTAGCTTATACTGCAACTCGGCTGAGCGAACTTAGTTACAGTTTCCGGGGAAAACACTTTATCTAATGTAATCAACATTAAATTCTCGGTCACGATGACTTCTGACTAGCACAACCATCGACGGTTCCTCACACACACACACACACACATATATATATATATATATATATATATATATATATATATATATATTTTAAATTAACTGATTTAAAAATATGGTTCCTTCCTACACAGGAATTGCCATGTTTCAAAAATCGAAGCTAAAAACTTCAGATTTAATTATATAATTAAATTAAAAGCATTAGTTCTGTTTCATTTTCAAGCGATGTTTTGAACTAAACTTTCATTTACTTTTGTTATGGTCTTGTTAGTGGCAGAAATAAATAGACAAATAGAGTAACTGAATTAAACAAATAGTATTAACAGAAACAGTAATACAAACGAGAGTGTTACAGCAAGAATCTTCGGTCCGACTGTCGGAGATGACTGCTGGAAACCTTTCTCTCCAAAAGGCAGTACCTGCTCCTATTTATAGCTGGGAGAGTCAATGCGTACATGGGTAAATTACCATAACAACTTTCTTCCAACTTCTCCCAAGTTGTCTCCTTTATCATTTCAACGCAAGCAAGGAATTAATACCACCTAGACACAAGGGGTTACTAATAAATTTTTAAGGAGAAAAATGCTAAAATTATTATTACTGACCATCGCTTGTGGCAATAAATACCAGCCACAAGGTGGATATGACTAAAACATTATGTGCCCTCAGGATTCTCCATCGAAAAGATATACAGTGGTACCTATTCATACGATGCATGTCACTGCAAATACCCCGATAGTATGCAACTGCTGACCAGAGGAATCTCTCTCAGCGCTACCAGAAGACGGGCTATTTACAATCAGTCGGAGATGCAGCAACCAGAAAAACGCCTATCTGCTACCATCAAAATGAAAAGTCGCTGGCTACTGACCAGTCAGATCATCAAAAAGTTAAAACAGTTTAAAAGATTAAGGCCATGGACGAAATGAACAGGCAAGACAATCCTAAGCAGGAAACAATGGATAAATCTCTATTCCGGTTCAATAAAGACGGTAAGCAATGGGTAAAACCAGACCGGACCGGACCGAAAAAGACCGAAGGTATGTTTTTTTTTCTTTTTCTTTTTTAATGTTTGGTTAAACATCTATGCCTACGGCAGCAACTATTGATACCACCCACATATATTTGGTAAGGCAAACAACGTTCTAAGACTAACAGCGATAAAGAAAAAAACAATCGCTTATTAAAAATGGCGTCTTTAATTTCTTCTGTCCTTATGAATGGCTTTTTATGGTACAAACCTTAGATACGGTGACGTCATTCATAGCAAATTCACTATTTGTTTCAATTTGGTTCAATTTTTATTTACTTGTTTATATGAAGAATTTTTTTTTTCAAGAGAAACAGACGTTAGCTGGAAAGCAAAAATGGAATAGTTTAAGGTGATGACAAAGAAAGGCCGAATAAATTGATGAGAAATAGAAGAAAGAGTGACAGAGAAAGAATGTAGCTAAAAGGGGAGGAGTGAATAATAATAATAATAATAATAATAATAACAACAACAACAACAATAATAATAATAATGATGATGATAATAATAATAATAGTAATGGTCGACCGGATCCTTTAGACCTGCTTAAGCAGACGTCCTCTTTAAGTTTTTGGTGACAAATCCAAATTTGTTTGCCATTTGGTAGAGTTTTTTTTCCAAATTTTACATTGAAGGCACGCTGCATAGTTTTGGGTGACTGTGTTCGAGAATATTCCAAGACACATAACGACTTCTCTTTGGGAGTGTACGGCATGGCGCAACCTGAAAACAGAATAAAAATAAAACATTAAATATAAAATCTTTATCTGTTTTTATACATTCTGTGAAAATTTGACGTTATTTCAACAATAATTGCCAAAATTATTGGCCTGCGATGTGATGTCAATTTTTTGGGGAGACCCTGTAATTTCACTAATTATCTGAATATATCCTTAGACAGATCATTTTTTCTAAGGTAAAAACAGATGATAATCATAGGTGAGACCACCAGGGGTCGCCTGCGTGATTGTTAAAGTCCCGGAGGATGTCTGTTAACAATTATGTTATTCTGCTTTCACAAGTGACTACATGTTAGATGTTACTCAGCTTTCGTGCCTATACATGTGCGGACATGTTTTATGCTTTAATTTTGTTGAACTTATATTTTGGAATACAGATTGATTCCTTTGAGAAATTGTATGATATTATATATACTTTCATGTTGTTTAGTTGAATTCGTTTCGCAACATATCAACACCTCTATGCCAGAATCTAAACATTTTGAACAAATTTATGGTTTCAACTGAATATATTTGGAACGCAGTTCTATGCCTTCAACTACAGATAAAATGTATTGTTGGTCATTTTGCTTTAAATATGTATTGTTGATTGGTTGGTTTTGTTTAGCGGCATATCAACACATCTATGGGTTATTTAATGCCAAAATCTAGATATTTTTCACACAATTTTACGGATTCATCTCGATATATTTTGAACGGAATTCTATGCATTCAACTACAGATAAAATATATTGTTGGACGTTTTGCTTTAAATATGTATTGTTGGTTGATTGATTCTGTTTAGCGGCATATCAACACCTCTATGGGTTATTTAATGCCAGAATCTAAACATTTTGAACAATTGGAACGGAATTCTATGCCTTCAACTACAGATAAAATGTATTGTTGGTTATTTTGATATAAAATGTATTTCTGGTCATTTTACTATTAAATTGTATTTTTATATTTTCATATAGATTTGTGCTTGGGTGGGATTCTCTATTTACCCAT